GTTTGCCACAGCCTGTCCTCAAGGACTGAGCTCCCAGGGATGGAGGACTGAGCTGAAGGGGTGTGCTGCGATGGAAACGTGACGGAGAAAGCAAGGCAAAAGCAAAAGAGAAATGTTAAGGCTGAACGTGAATTTTTTTCAAGCCCCCAAACCTTTCCTCTGTCACCTGTGTCTGTGAACGCTTTAAGTTCAGCAAAGTTAAACAGGTTGAAAACAGGGTTGTATAATGTGAGCACTTGGTTAGGATGGTTTAGATGGGGCCGATCCTGCCTTGAGCAAGGGATTGGACCGGATGACGGCCAAAAGTCCCTTTATAGCCCCATTTTCTATGATTCTGTCCTTGTATGCATCCGCTACCGGCCCTGGGTATAACACGCCACTTCCATATCTCTCGTCTATTCTCTGTTTCTTTCCTGTATATTAGTAAACAAACATCACAATTCTGTATCGACACTTTATGTAAATTTTCAGTCCATACCTTCTTTTCAATTAATTCAATGGCAAAACTCCCAGCGGCTTCAATGGGAGGGGAATCAGTCTCTTATTAAGAAGGGTTCCTCATTACATCTTTGTTTCTCTCTTTCAAACAGGTTGAACGTCATCTTTACAAAATTTGATGAAGTCCAGAAATCCGGAAACATGATCCAGGGGTCGGGCGGTGAGTAGAAATGCCGCTGGCATTCCCTGCTCTTTTGTGAATGATCAGCGTGAGGCAGACCAGTGGCCGTAGAAGTAAAAGGCTCCTTGCAAAGGATCGCCACGTGTTGCATGCAACTACCGTCTGTTTTTACCGCAGGACAAACAGGAACAGGGAAATATATGCATGTAACCTTCAGGGAATTTAAGGTCAGGGGCTGATAACCTTACAATAGTCTTCAAGGCGGGCTCCCATGAGTCAGAGCAAGTGACACTTTAAAAAAAAGAAAAGTGTTGGTGGGTGGGGAACTGAAATTTGTGAAGGACTTGACTCCGGCGTTGCTGTTTGTAAATGTAAAAGAGCATTCAGATTCACTGCTGGGGAGGCTGTAGCAGGCTCCAGCGAATCTGATCTTGTTCTCCAGCAGTTTTCACATGCTTTCCCTGGATGGTTGCAAGCATCAACGATGGTGCCCCCACCCCTTAACAGCCAGGAAGGTGGCTGGTAAGAGTGGAGATGAATCTGCTTTTGTCTGGCAAGATTAGGTCTGGGGAAAGACAGTTATTTTCCTTTCCAGGCATTATTCTTCCTGCCAGATCCCTCTAAACTGCCGTGCCCTTTCTCTCTGAAACAATGCACATGTGATAGAGCTAGACAAGAAGCCACGGTCTGAAGGCAATTCTGCACCAGAGCAGACATTTCCTGGCACGGCTTAAAAATTCATGAAATAATTTGTGGGTGTATTTAACGCTGCTACGTTGCGTTTTGCTGCACGTCTGGCTATGGCGAAATGCAGTTCAGATGCCACACTGTGTGACGTTGTGGGGTCAAACCCTAAATGGAAGAATATTGTTCGTGGGCGGTGTTTATGTTGAGGGCAATGTGCCGTTTCTTCAGCATGAGGGACGTTGTTAAGAAGAGTATAACTGAAAAACAGTGTTCGGGTCTTGATTTAGACTCAGGAAGGAAAAACAAGCATTCCTTGATTAAAGATTTAAGCATTTGTAGCCATCGTACCGTTAGTCCTGAATACCCAGGACAGAGTAGACTGAATCTGCCCCTGCTCCAGCATCACGGATATCAGTTAAACTAGAATAAAGATGAATGTGGCTCATTATGTCTTAATGAGAGATGCTAATGGATGTGCCCGGAGAAGATGGCCTTAAAAGGTGGTGCATGTGGTCGCATCACATCACGTTGTCGCTTATTGGAGCTTGGGAGCAGCTTGTGCGGCACGGTGTTGTGACATTATGTTGCTATGCTGTGTCAACACAGATTAATTATATCCAAACCGTACAAGCTGGTGATGATTTGTTTTCTTCGGAAGTTGCCTTGGAATCTGTTAATGAGTCACAAGCTCAGCTTGCCGGGGCCCTGTCGGCACAACCTAGGGGTAACCCTACAGGAAAACCAAGTGGGTCATGGCCCTGAGTGGGATGGCCACTGGTATTCCCAGGAGAGCCCAGCAAGAGCAGCCATTGCTGAGGAGTAGACATAGAGGAAGAAAAACTTGATGTTTCAAGGATAAACCTTAGCTGTGTAATCACAGAGAGGTAGTTAGCTGTGTTAGCCTGACATCCAGCAGAAAGCAGGATCTTACAGTTAGCAGATAAGATGCCACTCTGCCATGCCTTCTGGCTGTGCAGTCATGTTATCTTAGGTGGCATGGATACCAGAATAGCTTGAGCACCACAACCTGTCTGTACAATCCTAGAAAATGAGGGTTGAAAGGACGTCAGGAGGTCACATCTAGTCCAGCCCCCTGCTTCAAGCAGGACCAGCCCCAGCTACATCATCCCAGCCAAGGCTTTGTCTAGCTGGGGTTTGAAAACCTCCAAGGATGGAGATGCCACCACCTCTCTGGATGACCTGGTCACGTGCCTCACCACCCTCCTAGTGAGAGTTTTTCCTAATGTCCAACCTCAACCTCCCTTGCTGCTACTTGAGCCCATTGCTCCTTATTCTGCCATCTGCCCCCACTGAGAGCAGCCCAGCTCCATGCTCTTTGCAACCACCTTGCAGATAGTTGAAGGCTGCTATTAAATCCCCCTTCTGTCTTCTTTTTTCCAGACTAAATCAGCCCAGTTCCCTCTGCCTTTCCTCCATAAATCAGGTGCTGCAGCCCCGTAACCATTTTCCTTGCCCTCCTCTGG